TCACCCTTTTTTTTCAAATTATTTTCAATTAAATCCTTAACTAATTTTTCACCCTTTTATTATTATTATTATTATTTTCATTAAATCAAATGAAAATAAAATAAATTCAATTCAATTTAATTAATAATAATTATATTTATAAAAAAATAAAATAAAAATAAATGTTGGGTGTTACACTAAGTGTGTTTTCTCACAGGAACTGATGAAAGTTTGGCCGAATTAGGCTAAAAATAGCCAACCCGAGGCGAATCGCCGCTGCCGTCACTGGAGCACGATGGAGCCGCCATGCCGGATTTATGAAATTGGCTGAGTAGGTCCTAGGTCTAATTTTTGGGTTATTTGGGATATTTGTAGGTATCGTGAGTGCGTTTCAGTTCCCGAAGAAAAATTCAGGGAACCCAGGAACCACCCGTAGGCGCAGTAAGCCATTTAACTTTTCGGCGTCAAATCAAGTAAGGACCTCTCACCCTATTTTCTATTATAGAATTGAAATTCAAATAAATAATATTACAGTCTTTTGTACAAAATTAAATGGATGTGCTTGATTAATTATGGATTGTTAATGGAACCCAAATCAGACATGTTTTCTGTCGATTTCTGTTGATTTATTTTACAGTCTAAAAGCATGATGATATCTGGTTTATATATTGTATAGTTTAAATGCATGTATTACTGTCTTACTTGACAATTGTTTGATTTTAGGAATCTAAGATATGATTGCATTGTCGGATGCATATTTACTTGTTTATGTATTTATGTTTGATTTGGTAACGGAGACTAAGAAAAAACAGAAAAGGGGTGTGATTTAATAAATAAATAAGATGACAATCTCACTAGATATCTTGAGAGATGGTGGACGGATCAGGTTTATAGGGAACCCTACCGTGAACGTTGTCTCATACCGGACGGTGTATGGATACTTGGTCATTTGGCGCTCATACCGGATGGGGTATGGAGACGGACCGCTTCACCCTCATACCGGACGGGGTATTGAGATTTAATGTCTTGGTGCTCATACCGGACGAGATATGGGGCCGGCTATGTAATTAAGACTGTTAAGGAAAATGGTTCACGTGTAGTGAGGACACCCCTATGGATCCCCATAGATACTAATAGGCTGGTGAAACGATAAACGATTACGAGTTCGTCTATTGTTAATAAATGTGAATTTATAATATGTTCTATGTTATTGGTCGTGCATGGAGTTATGATTTATATGATATTATTGTTTCTATAATTTGTTTTCATAAATTCTCTAATGGTAATTAAAAAGGTAAATGGTTTTATTTTAAATAAATGTATTGGTTTAAATCTACTGCTTCATTTGTTGTTTTAATTTTTTACCAACATTTGTTTTTGTGACTGTGATATAGTGTGATGTCGTTACTAAACTAGTATAACTCATTCCTTATTTAATTATTTCAGATCAAGAGAACTTACTTTCCGATCCCGATTCACAAGAAGACTGCGAGTAGATACTAGATACTTTATAGTTTTCTTTAGTTTTCTCATTTTTTGTGTTTCTTTAAGAGAATTCATTCCCTAATATTTGTTTAGTACTTTTAATTTATTGTGTAAGATATGCAAATTTTAATTTTTTATTTTGTTTTCATACTTAAATTATTATATATTTCTTTTTAGATTTTCGAGTTCGTTATATAATAGATTTAAGTGACATATAAAAATGTGTGTATATATATATGTATACATTTTAATTCCTATTTTATATATATATATATATATATATGTTTGATAATGATGAATGGTTGATCTCTTGGCTTAGTTGACTTAAATTATTAATCTTTTTTACCAAAATTTGAAAGAGTAGTTTCCTGTTCCGTAACGTGAAGTAAAGGCAATTTTATTAGTTCACACACACGCATATATATATATATACACACACACATTTTAATTTATACTTTATATATATATATATATATTTGACATTGAATAATTAATAGACTTAGCTTAATTAACTTAAATTATTAATCTTGTTTACCAACCAATTAGGTGGTGGCAAACGCAGTCAATTCCATATGTTGCTCCACCCTTCCTTCAAAATTCATATATTTGACTCAATATAACGTTAATTATAATTTTAAAAGCACATTTATTTTAGCAATAATTAAAATTAGAATTTATTTTTGATACATTTAAAGTGTCTTAACTATAAAAAAAATAATTTTAAATGTTATTAAAAATTAATTTCATCGAAATACATAAATATTATTTTTTTAAATAATAATACTTTAATTTTACCCAAAAAAAAATTAATTAATTATTTTAACAAATATAAAACTTATTACTGTACAAAAAGTTCAAAATATATTTTCCAACTACAGTTTGCCACGTCATCCATTCTGTTAGGACGGTGCCACGTGGCTATCTGGCTTCCGAATTATACGGCCAACCTGGGACCCACTACCGACACTGACGCTCAATTACGAAATAAATAAAACGCGGTTATTTTCTTAAATTCGAACGAAAAAGGACAAGTCAGTAACGAGACAACTCACATTTTCCATTTTCTTTTTTCTTTACTTCACTTGGACCAGACGAGAATATCAGCACCAAGCAAGGCGGTGCCAGGTCGCCATTACCAAAACCCAAAACGGTTTCTTATTTTTCCCACCATCGAACTTAACCTTTAAGTTTTCAAAACCACTCTCCCTCCGCCATTTCTCATTTTCTCAGTTTTTCTCCAACTTTCTCACATTTTCTCGGAGGATTCGGCAGATTCCAGACGGTGAGTACTGCACTCGTCTTGTTTCATTTTGAAGTACTTCCTTCTACTTCCTTCTTCGGTGCTCTCTTAGTTCAATATCCTCGTAGTTTCAGCTCCAGTTCCGAATTTTTTCTTCATTACTTAGTTCTACTACGCTTTGCATGTTCCATTGAGTTCGGACAGAGAGTGATGTGCGCGGATCTGTGTGCGAGTTGTGCCGTTTCTGCTTTCACCTTTAATGTCTGTATTGTCTGTTTTCTTTTCGATGAAACTGTGGACAGTAAGAGGAGTTTGTGTTCTTCAAGTTGTAAATCTAGTTGATCTGGTGCTTGGAAGTTCTGGAAACTTGTTTCTCAGTTCACTAAGGTTGAGGAACCGTTGAACGCTCGAATCCGTGGTGGTGTTCGTTTTCTATTTTCGAGTTCAATAATTCGGTGTTTTTATCAAATTTTCTTTCCTGTTTTTTCTTTTCAACCAATCAAAGATTGGTTAATGCTTCTGATTTCATGAGAATACATAAATAGAAGGATTTGTAGTTTCGTACTCTGTTCGCGTCAACAAAGGTGGTTTGACGACTTTCTATAGTCAGGTGCCCTAATGGCAATTCCACGGTGTCATAAAAAAGATTTTATATTCAACAATTAACTATAGCCAACTCTAAATAAGCGTAAGGAAAGTAAATTAATTGTTTTATTTTAAACAAAACCGATTTCCAACTTCTTGGGTTAAGACTGCAATGTCAAGCACCTTCCTCTAATGGTTTTGCTTTCTCTTGAAATCATTTTTTGAAGTAATCTGCTGATCTAAGTCTACTTCCTCGTAATTGTTAAAATGTAGTTCATTATACTATCAGAGAGTTTTATATGGCTTTGGTTTCTTGCTGATTTGGTCATCATGCAACGTAATATGACCGCTTAACGAGTCAAGAAACTACTTCTTATTTACCAACTGGTGAAGGAGGGCATTGACTTGTGGTTCTCCGTCTATTTTCACACCTGTCTGTTTATTTCCACGTCGAATTGGAGCAGCAAACTAGGATCCTTGTTACATGAGTGTTGTATTTGGGAGTTAATGATGATCCATCACTTATGGATGAACTTGGTGCAGTCTTTCAAGATTATTTGAAGATTATGAGGGAATATTACTGACAAAACGAAGCCTGAACTTCCAGTTTTGGTCCTAAATGGTTTGTCCCAACAATTATTTGTGCTTGCTTGTTTTATATTGTTCTCAGTTATTGGAGTATCACTTTGATGGAAGGCATGCTTTAACATTATTTTTTATATGAGGTGTTTTAACATGAGTTAGTTGTTTTAACATTCTTCTCGATCCGATTTGTTATTATGCTCTGTACTTCTTTTTTTTTGTCATCTCACTTTTGTAAGTTGGTTTCTGTCCATCGATCATTAGCATTTATTTCCAAGGCTCTTACATGATAGCATGTGTATCTTTGTTATTGTGCCTTTGAAAACATTATATGTTTTGTAGACTAATTGATTTCTAATTTTCAAGGTTGCAGAACATTGTAGTTGGTTCAGCCAAATAATAGACCAGAAATTAACAGATTGAAGATTTAATTTCAGAAAAGTGAACTATCCTTCAATATTTGCCAAAAAAATCTGAAAGTTCCAGTCAAAGAACCAGTCTCTCTGAATGGGCACCTAGTCCTTGTGGACTAGCATACAGATATGGTTCTTTGGAAGTTCTTAAATGCTAATCAGCAGTATTTTTATTTAATTTCAATCACCATGGCAATTAACCATAGAGGTTTTGATGCAACTGCATAGTCGGCAGGATGAAGAAATGGTACGCTGGGGTTGTAATTGTATCCTTCTTTATGTTGATTTTTGTAAGATACAGTGTCAAGACAAATCCTATTGGCCAGAATAACTGGAAAAGTCCTGTAATAGCCAATTTGACTAATCCTCTTGAATGGGTGCGTTTAACGGATCCCGATGCTGTCCAGAGCCCAGCAAATACTTCCGATGTGATTTCAACTGATGCTATAATCTTCAGCCTTTTTGCTCAGAGAAATTTTTCCAGTGAAGAGCAACAATCTTTGCAGACATGGAATCTTCTGAAGAACTTAATTGATCAGGCTCAGGTTTACCAAATGGAGTGCAGCTATAAGGAAGCTGCTAGTGCTTGGGGTAACCTTATGGCTTCAATTGAAGAGGAAAATCTTGCTTATACAAATGGAAGTTCTGGTAGAGTTGGGAAAGAAAACAATGTCCTCAGTT